ATAAATTACATTTTAAAATATATTCACATAGAAAATAGTTATTTTAAATAGTAAAAATATTTCACAACATTACTGCTTTTGCTGTATAGGATCAAATAAATGCAGGCTTGGTGAACATAAGAGACTTCTTTAAAAACATTACAAATCTTATTGTTCAAAAACTTTTGACTGGTAGGTTATATATATTACAAAAATGTTATATTGTAATGTTCATTCATACTGGAAGCCGGAGGGCGCTTCGCCACAGAAAGTCCAAAACTGACTTATTAAATTTCTGTCCCCCTCACTTCTGAAATGATGGCTACGCCCCTGAGTTCAGGTAAACAACGCTGGCTGTGCAACGCCTGATCACTGGTCAGTGGTTCCACTCTGGATATGAATCAGTTTGGGTGGACTCTGACAATGACAAGGTTACGATAAGTAGATATATTTTGCTGAATAAACAGAAATAGACTGACGTTCTTGATGAAGCAATACAACTTCCCAGTAGGGCTCTGATTAATAAAATGATGAATAATTTACTCAGCTCTCCAGAGAGATGGTAAATTTTGTTTTGATGATCAGCACAGGAACAACAACAAAAAAGGGCTAGAACAGTAAAACAATATTTCTAAAGGAATAGTTCACCCAAAAATGAAAACTGTCATCATTTACTCATCCAAACAGCTGATGGTAGCCATGACTTCCAGTGTTTTTTTCCATAATGTGGACCGTCATCTGTTTGGTTACCCACATTCTTCAAAATATCTTCTTTTGTGTTAGGTAGAAGAAATAAATTCATACAGGTTTGAAAAACAGAGTGAGTAAATGATGAGAGAATTTTAATTTTTTGGTGAACCATCCCTTTTAAAAAACAAAGGTCTGATATTACAATTAGTACAGCACAAGTAAATGCTGGATAGTTTGGGTAAATTTCAGACAAAAAGATTTTCTGTATTGACACATCCCTCAATGTAAATGTTATTAAAACCATGTTAATATTTTGTACTAGCATGCTCTTTCTGCAGGTCGTTTCGATGTTTATGAGTCATTGAATAACTCAACGAATTCGTTCAATAACACTAATTCATTCAAGTTGAAACACCACTACTGTGTGTAGCTTGGTTGATTCAGACTTAACTTTGTTTGGATCTGTTTTTGTTGTTGAGACAAAAATAAATAAAGTAACAGTCTTGTTTAAATGTAACTCAACATTAACTTATTGTTTATTGAACAAAATCCATATGTTTTTCGCAATGTTAATAACTTGTTGCTCCATTAGTCAAATCCTTTTCATAAAGTGTTTAATCAAGATCCGCTGCAGTTCAATTCAGTTCCATTCATTCGGTTCATTGAAAAGATTCTGCTTAAAATGTTTTGCTAAATATGCTGTTGGTATTATTTACTTTATATATTAGAGCTGTTAGGGCTGAATATAGAATGACTGAGATAACTTAGCATTAGTACTTTAGTAATTCCTACAGAAAAAAAGTGGCGAAAGAAAGGAAGAAAAAGAAAAATGTCTCCCTTTTATATAATGTATAATGTTTTATAAAGTAATACATTATAAAAAAATAATAAACCTCCTATAATAACCATCATACTTCACACACACAGTCATATTTTTTTATAGCATGACCAGAGTCAGGTTGTAAATCATGCATTGGTATAATCATGTAATGTTTCCAAAGCTTCCAAACAATGAATCATAACTGCCGAACACTTTGCTTCTTTCAACAGGCATCACACTTTGTACCACTAAATGTCAAAATCATGGAGACAACTTGATAAATATTTGCTTATGAGGCAAAATGCCAAAATAACTCCTTAAAATGTACCAATAGATCTTAATTAGATTCCCAACATATTTAAGGAATCTGTAAGCCTCTTTTTCATGACGAAGTCTGTGACATAGTATATATGCACACTTAATGCTGTAATTTACTTACTTCTGTTCAGTTTCTAAATGAGCTAATTGTATTCAAAAGTTTTTAGGGGTGCCCTGCAGAAGAAATAATTTGCACAGAAAAACAAACAAACACCTGAATTGATTTTTAATTAAAATGTTGTTAATCATTATTTTTTAAATAATACATTACAACATTTAGAACAAATGCAGATACATCACATACATTATTTGTCTTGTGAAATGCATATTGTATAAAATGCTATGATACAAGCTGTTTTCATTGCAGAGTTTACAGGAATTGGTTTGGTTTCTCTTTTATCAACCTCTACTTTTTCACACTTGTCTGGGCAGGAAAGTTGCAGATTTGGTTGACAGAATTACATGTATTTCTTTGACTCCTCTGTCTGTTTGGCTGGGAATTTGAGCTGGCAGGATTTAAAAGTGCCTCAGAGAGTCATGGGAGGGTATTCAACATTCATCTGCAGCATGTGAAAGTTTCCCTTTCATGGTTTAAGTATTAGCATAATATTGTAACAGCAAAGTTGTTTCATTGCATCAGAAAATGTACTGAACCAGACTTTACAATGATGTAAAAGAGAGTAACACAATGTACAATTCAGAAAAGTAACACTAGGTGACTACACCCTCAACTATGTGCACTGATTTGTAAGCCGCAAGATACCATTAAATCATAAAAACTACCAGATGAATGAATTGCGCTATCTGTGTGAGGGGATGGGTGTGTGTGTCCTGTATGTGAATCACAGCTGAAGGGTGTGGAGACTTCTTCCTTCTTGATTTGAACAGCAGAATAATTAATGAATATTCCAGTGTTCCATTCAGAGAAGAGTGACATGTCCAGTGTTGGGGAAAGTTACTTTTAAAAGTAGTGCATTACAATACTGAGTTACTCTCTAAAAGCAACTTTTACTTTTAATTCCGTTACTCAGTTACTGTTTATGGAAAGTCATGCGTTATGTTACTTTTAAAATCTGGGCAGGGCTTGCTTGTATGTTTTTAATATAAAAAAGTTCTTCTTTTACAAATATAAAAGCCCTTTCGCACCAAAAGTGAAATGAACAAGTATCAGGCAGAAGGAAATGTAGATTCACGTCTGTACAGTAGAGAGCACAGCTCAAACAAATTGCATGAAGAATATGATGCAGAAGAACAAAGTTCAAACACTATTCAGCAATAACAAAAATAACAATTTGACCACGTCATGACTGACCAATAAGAATCATTAACTTGTGGGATCTAACTACAGTTTTCCTCCGATTATTTATCTGCCTAAACCCCTGTGTTACATTCAATTTTTACAGCTCACACTGTAGTAGTAATAATAATAATAGTAATAATACTAAACAATGTTCTGCCACAAAATCACCAGTACCTTTTCTGTTAAGTTTACAGACGTTTCCTTCAACCCTAAGATGTATTTGCATGCTATGAATATTTGACACGTGAATATTTAAATCTGTGTGGATCCGATCTAATGGTTTTCCATGTATGTCTCACCCAAACAACCATCTGCACAAGCTTTAG